AAGATTACGATTAAAAGGGAGGGAGGCAGGAAAGGGATGAAATTGTATATAGCTACAAATATTCGATGTAACAGACTAAACAAACAATAAAAATAGATATATTTTTTAAAAAGAGAGAGAACATTTGGAGCAAATGCTCCTTGATTTGTAAGATAGTCAAACATCATTTTAAGTGTCCTTGAATATTTTTAATGGAAAAAACATCAGAGATAATATAATAATTAGTAATAATATCATATGCAGTAGAATGGAAGTACGTCCCAATATAATTAATAATAATTGTCGGGTAGCCCGCCATGGTGTTTTTCCTTGACTCTGGAATGTGTAATGCTCTGCAGCTGTTTCTTACTTCTGCTTCTCTTATCTAGCCACTGGTCTTGAGTGCTCATTGCTTCAGCGCAAAGCCTCTGCTGTCTCCCGCTCACCTCTGAACCATTAACCAGTTCCCCACACTCCACATTAATTGCTTATTGGCTCCTAGGTGTCAGGGGTGTTGTATGAGCCCACTATAATTACTATAGCTATTTTGTATGCCTCATTCCTGACTCAAAGAGTCTAAGATGACTTCACCTTTCTCTGATCAATAAAGCTGAACCTGTTTAAGGGAAAATATATATATATGAGATATGTATTAAAAGGGTAAATATTTTCTATGTGCCATAAAAGGATATATACTTAAAGGTAACTGAAAAGCTTTGCTATAGAAAGTCCAGTTCTATTAAGAGACTGTTTACTGAGAAAGAGAAACCATTATGCCAGGTGTGATGGGCTCTGGATGAAATATTCAGTTTAAATGTGCTAATATTCTTTAAAATAATTGTATAAAATATTCCAGAAGACTGAAATGAAATCTAAAGAGTGAGTAGAAGATGTCTATGAGAGCTCAATGCCACCAGTTATTTTAAAATATGTAACGAAGTCATATAAAAAGTATAATGTTTTAGAATGATAATGTAAAGATATATTTTCATGTTTTGTATATTTGTTAGTTAAAATGAGTTTAGAAAATGCTTTAAGAGATGTTTATATGAAAGATGCAAGTATAAATGTCTGTATAAAATCAAATGTGATGAACTAAACTGACAGAGTTCATGACTTCAGCCTGAGAAGTTCAGCCAAAGAACAGAAGTCTGGGAAAGGAATAAACAAAGCAATAAATTAGGACTAATGACCTGTACCTGTGTAGTAGGAGTAAGAAACTCTGCCAGCTACCATTTTGTGAGCCAAATATGAGATTGATGATTGACTGATCAAAGAGAATTGAACTGAGCATGTCTACATGATGTCAGTGATGATGTAAAATAAGGAGGAGCAAGAAGAGTATATAAGTCTGTGCTTTGTATCCACTCGTTGAACTTCCCAGGCTGAATTAAGCTGTAGGGGAGTTCCTGTATTCGAATAAATACTTTTTATTACCCTTTACTGCCTGGAAGATTGTTTTCACTGTGTGTTTTATTGGCTAGCCACATAAGTCAAAGAACCTGAGCACCTCTAGCGTATTGGTAACAGCTCCAAAGCACGGATCCTCATTTCATATTTTTTCTGGGCCATTTTTCTGATGTAATCTGTGGTCAAGAACATGATGTGTAATTGGATAGTGAGTTTGGGGTGAACCAATGCAAAAATCCTGAGGATGTGTGCTGTGGAAATCCATTTTTGCACTGTGGCAGCTCCACAAATACATTATTTTTGTTGTGCAAGTTGTGGCTAGGGAGAGGATATGTGATGTGATGGTGAGTTTGGGTCACTCAACGCAAAAATCCTGAGGATCCATACTTTGGAAATCCCATTCTCACACTGTGTTGCCTCAACAAAATGGTGGATATGTGATTTTTGTGGTACAAGCTGTGGCTACAAATATGACACACGTGTTATGGTGCATTTGAGGTGACCCAGTGTAAAAATCCTGATGCTCTGTGCCTAGGAACCAGGTTTTTGCATGAGGGCTGTGCCTTGAAGCAGTGGATCTGTGATTTTTCTGGCATAATCTGTAGCGTCATGTTTGGATAATGAATGTGGGGTGACGGGCTGAGCCTTACTGAATCTTGTTGGAAAAGAGTAATTTGGAAAAAATTGCATCTGCTGTTTCAGAATTCGTAAGCAGTACACTTGTGTGTGAGTTGTTCTACCGAGCCCCACTCTCTCTCCAGAAATTATACCAGTCAGTCATTTGGGGGATAGTCTGTGTTTGGGAAAACTAGAAGTGCAGGGACCTTTCATAGAATGCCCATCCCCACCAGGCTCAATAAGGGAGTGGGATGGAACTCAGTTCTTGATTTGGGAGGTTGGTGTACTCTGTATAAACTGTTAGGAAATACCATGACCCCATTACTGGTATAGAACATACAGTATTTATTGGCTCGTGGTTGTTTCAGAGAAGGACCGGGGAGCAAAAAAGCATACCTCCTCCTTCCGTTGATTTGGATATTTTTCCTGTCTAGTTTGTAAACTGGCCTGCATTTCTCTTGGTTTTCCGGTGTGTTCACTTCCTCCTTTTGCAGTGCAGGCCTAAGATCTTCTCCAAAGGGTTTAGGATGGTAGTTAAACCCTGTGCATGCATAACATTATTCCACCAATGCTTTCCACCACCGCTGGTGCGGGTATCATCGGGGGGCGCGGGACGTCCCTAGCGGATGACAGGGTTGTGGAGACATACACTGCTGCGTAGTTCTGTTATAACACCTCAGAACACCATCTTGGTAATGATTTGGAGTATTGGAGCACCGATATTTATATTTTTGGTAATTTTAATCAACTGTAGTATTCTATTTATTGTATTTTATACTGTTTTTATTGTTATAATCTGGCATTTATGCCTTTGTTAGCCACCCTGAGCCTTTGGGGAGGGCGGGATACAAATCCAAAGAATAAATAAATAATAAACATGGAAATAAGCTTGTCAGCATCCCAAAGACATGCTGACATGCCTGGCAGTTATAGCACTCTGTGCCAGTGTGACCCTGGTATGGTACCAACACAGAATTGGATGGCATTGGGCATGTCTTAGGCAGAGCAGGGCTTGCTTAGCTTCCTGAGATTTTCCACTCGTGGGCATCTCCTAATCCCTATCACTGGCACAACATCATGCCACTGAAAACTCCGGCATCTCTTTACAACTATCATGATCAGCAGCTGCACTCACCAGTATGTGTCCTGCCAACTTTATTATTGTAGCCTAGATCATGCACCGTTGCACGCTGCATAGCGGACCACTGTATCACCACCAGCCTTTCACGAGCACGCAATGACAGGAACAGAACTACCTGTGGCTTTGTGGCCTGTTGGTGCAGCCATGCAGGAACCACAGTTGGCAACTCCATTCATCTGACTTGTTCTCAGTATTCCTGATTCTCTTCCATAAACATGTGGCTTGCTGTACAGCTGTGTCTCTGACTGGGACTGGATAGCCAGGGATCGGTTCCCATCCCATCCTGCGCACATTACTTACCTCCACTGTCTTCAAGATGCAGCTCACACTGGGAGAGGGCTGAGGACGTGGTCTCCGTATATGCCCTTCCAGAAATGTATGGCTGGTAGACACCAGGGCAGCTGTGGGATCGCTCATGTTCTCTGCAGTGTCATGTTCCTGTGTATTCAGTTTGGTCAGAGGACTGCTTCGAAATTCGTGAGCTGCGGGTTCTAGGCTAGGCCAGCTTCTCCCTTTGGTGTTGCAAGCAATCTGCCCATTGACGGCCAGAGTTGTGCCTGCCTTGCCTTCGGATCAGCGTCCCACTTAGCGGGATCTGAATCCATAGCACCAGTTTGACACAAGGGTACCTTTCCCCAGCGAGCAGTTGGGGAGCTTACAGGACTGCTTCTTCTATGAAGGTCACGTGGTATGTCTTCCTTGTCGCTACCCCAGTGTCTGCATCCCCCTTGCCTTGCAAAGGCTTGGTATGCCCCAGTTCCACCCATCCGAAATTCTTATGCAGGAAAGGTCCTGGAAGGGTTGTCAGCATTGCCTCTGAGGATCAAGCCACAGAAGCATGCAAATGTTGTGGCAAATGGGGGGATGTTTCCTTGCGTCTGTGCCGGTCACAACAGAACTTGTTCACAGGAGAGAGACCTAAAAACCACACCTGCAGAGCTGCTGGGAGTGTTCTCAATCCAGGGCTCCTCCTGGTCACACCATAGTGCCCCTACCAGTGGAGAGCAATGCTCCCTCTAAGCTGTGGAGTCTTGTGAGCAAAAATTCTGCTTTGTGAGCTACAGGCATTAAAGTTGTGAGCGAGTGATTTGGCTACTGCACAAATTCGTTTGCTCTGGAGCCATCCTTTCTAAAAAATGTGAGCTAGCTCACGCTAACTCAGCTTAGAGGGAACACTGGTGGAGAGTGGCACATTTTGCAACAATGGCCTAATGTCAAGGTGGCATGGTTGTGTGCACTGACTGGCAGTATCTGTCTGCCTGTCATGAGGGATATTGATGGCATCCTGCTCCGTGATTGGTGGGGTTGCTATATTCTTTGGTGCGATCGTGATGCCTTACTCATGTTGTTGAGTGGTGTTTCTGTCCCATTTCGTCTCTTCGGTGGGGGCACAGGAAACTTTCCCAGCACTTGGGTCTTAGAACTGGGATGTCAGTGGCCTATCAATGCCTCCCCAGTTACAACTAACACCCCCCCCCCATATTCTCAGACAGGAGCAGGGCCGGCTCACTCACTAGGCAAACTAGGCGGTCGCCTAGAGACCTGAACCTGCCTCGTCCAGATTCTACTCTGAGGCTCTAAGCACTAGACAACACTGGCTCTAGAAAACAAACATGTTCAGAGCTGACTGATTTGACATTATTGTGTTTCATGCTGAGGAGAGGAAAGGTACAAGTTATTTTGTAACTGGGTCTTTAAAGAAATAGAGCCAGTTTAGAAGTGAAACATTTGCAAACCACTGCAATAATATATTCAGGACTGAGAATCTATTCATATCTAAGCAGAAGAAGAAGCAAATTCTTTTAAAGTTACTACATTTTTTTATTTATAAATAACAAGAATTACAATGCCGCTAGAAGAGATTTTTGGTCAGAGGTTGTAAATTCGTGCCGGACGACCTGTTTATCTCCTGGAGAATGTGTGTTTCCCTTTCAAACATCTGCAAAGAGAGAGAGCGAAGAGGCAGTGAACACGCGTACATATCCTGCCAAGTGACACGGCAATATCCTGAGCAGAAAATCTGAAATGACTCACCATCTTAAGAGTGGACTGAACTATATTTACTCAGTGACATTTTTTAACAATTAAAAAATTGTCCACAAAGCAGGGAAGGGACTTGCCTGTTGCCACTCTTCTTCCGTGCTGTGTTTGTATCCAAGTAAGTGACACAAGCCGTGAGCAACGGTCACCTACATGGGGGTGGGGTGGGGGAGAAAGTATTTCAGGATATACGTTATTCCAAACGGATTAATCCATCACACGCAGTGTTAGAGGCCTCACTTCTATACAGCTGTACTGAAAACTGCTACAGGGATGATGCTGGTACAGACAGGGCAATCCTAGGTATGTTTATGTGGGAATAAGTCCTACTGTATTTAGCAGAGCTTACCTCCCAATAGTGCGCATAGGATTGCAGCCCAAGTGTCATCATGATTTCTCAATGCTCAAGGGAGATAACATAATGCAGTCTACTTTTGTATTTTCCTGGGGCCTCCTGAAAACGATTTTGGCTCAAGCGATGATGCCGGAGATCAACACAGTTTAGAATCACTAGAGCACTATGCAAGTACATTGGGTGCAGAATGTTGTATGCTAAAGAGTTAAGCAAAACAAAGACAGCTCAGTTCCTCTGGCTCCATTGCTGATACCTTGCCACTTGCTCTAGCACCTTTCCCTTCCTCACTCCCCACTCAAGACTTTGCCCCTTCCTTCCATAAAGAAACTGCCCACTCTGACCTCTCTGCCACTCAGTTTTCTTCAGTCACCTCTCCATCTTGCTGCACTTCCTCTGATTCTTTATTTCCACTTTCCCTCTCATCCCATTGGAGGGATCCTACTGATTTTCTTACTGCCAAAACCAAAGGGCCTCTGTTTTGTCTTCCTCCTCCACAGCTGCCACCTCTGATTGCAAGAGGGTAGCCACGTTAGTCTGTCGTAGCAAAATAAAATGTCCAGAGCGGAAATTGTCATCAAGGTGCGCCAGCCGTAGCTGAATGATTATTAAGTATTTACTTTGTCTGAAATGTTTATATTCCAGATTACCACAAACAGGGTTCAAAGCACCTAAACAAAATTAAAAGTTAATTTGAAGGCAGAGAAAATAAATTTGTGTTCATTCGGTGCCTTTTTCTGCATCGAGTTGCAAATGGCTTGGGGCAACTCCATTGCATCCCACTTAGCGGGATCTGAATCCATAGCACCAGTTTGACACAAGGGTACCTTTCCCCAGCGAGCAGTTGGGGAGCTTACAGGACTGCTTCTTCTATGAAGGTCACGTGGTATGTCTTCCTTGTCGCTACCCCAGTGTCTGCATCCCCCTTGCCTTGCAAAGGCTTGGTATGCCCCAGTTCCACCCATCCGAAATTCTTATGCAGGAAAGGTCCTGGAAGGGTTGTCAGCATTGCCTCTGAGGATCAAGCCACAGAAGCATGCAAATGTTGTGGCAAATGGGGGGATGTTTCCTTGCGTCTGTGCCGGTCACAACAGAACTTGTTCACAGGAGAGAGACCTAAAAACCACACCTGCAGAGCAATGCTCCCTCTAAGCTGTGTAGTCTTGTGAGCAAAAATTCTACTTTGTGAGCTACAGGCATTAAAGTTGTGATTGAGTGACTGGGCTACTGCATCAGTTAGCTTGCTCTGGAGCCATTCTTCCTGAGCTGAGACAAAAATGTCTCCAAAATTCAGTTCGTCTCGGCAGGAAGCCTTTGGCAGCTTTCCAGGTTTCAGATTCTATGAGATAAACAAGTCCCAACCATAGCCCCCAAATTAATACTTTAGAAAATTTGGATATATACACTCTGTACTACCATAGTGGTTTTTAAAATATATATATATAGTATTTATTACAGTTTTTTTGATCCCACTGTGCTATTCTGTCAGTCACCCAGATTTTCACTCACTCTCTCAGCCTAACCTATCTGACAGGGTTGTTTCTACAGGATTATTCCTGTCTCCATTTTATTCTCACATTGTGCTGACAGGAAGGGTGGGATAAAAAAATAGATCAACAAAGCCTTATCCCTACATCCATTAAGGCAGTTACCATAAGTACCACTGAGATAGAAAATGACAAAGAAATACCTTTACCTCATGAAAAGGGAACGATAGCACATCTGTGGGGACGTTCTTGGCTCTGTAGGTTCTGTTGAGTCGCTGAATGTGGTGGTTACTGATACAGATAACGGCAAGGTCAAACTGCTGCACGCCCAAAATATGACGGATCTGGTCTACTCTCTTGCGAAGCAGAGCTCTCCTAACAGGGATGGCTCTCTGCAGATTACGTATGACGAGGCTCATCTCATTAAAAAGTGAGGCATACACAGCGGTTGGCAAAACAGTAGTTTTTCCAAAAGGCCCACCATTAGACACCAGGCATGGATCAGCAGCTAGAACAGCAGAGATTCAGACCACTTCAGATTTTAGCAAAGCCAGTTTTAAGTCAGACAAAAGAGTTTCCACAGGATTCATTTCCATTTGCACAGGGCGGCCAAGTTCCTTGACGTTTAGACAGTGACACTCAGGGGTCGGAGCCTGGGAACCCAAGATGAGTGACAGATCAAAAGATAGATCTCGGCAGAGAAAGGATGGAGTCTAGCAGCAAGTGGTATGGGCAGAGGCCAGCAGCTTGTGAGCTGGAGGGCAGAATCCAAGTTCCATAGTTTACCTCAGGGCCTCCAGTGTGGTGTCTACTAATACCTTTCCTGGTGTTAACCAGATGGGGTCGGGTGGGGTTTCTGTTCAGCATTCTTGCAGCAGCCATTTTGTAGTTGCACCCACCAACCTGTATCAGAATGCCAAAGCTGCCTAAAGTAAAGGTAAAGGTAAAGGTTCCCTTGCTCGAAAGCCAGTTGAATCCGACTCTAGGGTTGCGGTGCTCATCTCCGTTTCAAAGCCAAAGAGCCAGCGCTGTCCGAAGATGTTTCTGTGGTCATGTGGCCGGCATGACTAAACCCCAAGGCGCACGGAACGCTGTTACCTTCCCACTGAAGTGGTACCTATTTATCTACTTGCAATTTCTTGCTTTCGAACTGCTAGGTTGGCAAGAGCTGGAACCAGAGATGGGAGCTCACTCCATCATGTGGCACCCGGGTCTTGAACTGCTGAACTACTGACGTTCCACAGCCTGCAATTCAGCGTCTTAACCACTTGAGCCACCGCAGCTCCACCAAAGCTGCCTACAGGCTCAAAAAAGCTTGTGGACCCCTGTGGTGTCCTTGCTTATTGGGGAGATGGTTTTACCTTTAAAACACTCGCTGTGTACCTAAACTTTGTAGATTTCTGCTGCCACCAGGAATTAAAAATTCCAAATCTCTCTCTTTTGGTAAAATGGCTTAGGGCCTGGGCACTTCAGAGGATTATATGGCCCTGAGGAAGGACTATTCTGATTTCTGGGATAAGTTTAAACAAAAAGGGATTTATTTAATAAAGAACAAAATAGGTTTGTGGTTATTTTGAACGGTTGCTGATGAAAGGAACTTGTAAATATAACAGGCAAAGCTTGGTGCCACAAACAGTCTCTCAAACTCCCAAAACTCCACTCTGACAGGCATAGACAATCAGTCTTATTTTTCTGTCTCTCATATATGCAGCCATAGGCTGAACTCTTTGTCTTATTCACACAAAATACTCAAAAACTCCCATAGTCACACAGACTATGCTCTCTCTTCAAAGGTCACACACAGAATCCTCTCATAGACACTCCTCCTCCCACACTCTCAGTCATCAGCCAACCACATCACACTTGTCTCCCTCTATCACTCTTCTTACATTACTGCAGTCGAACTAAACATTTAAAGAAACACACACACACCAAAACATGAAATCATTACAACCCCTGGTTTAGCCAACCAATGTTCTTAATGCAGCACTTTGCCATAACTGTTTAAGAAAGGCTAGTCAACATTCTCATCAAACCAAATAGAAAATGCTCTGCCCATTTCCTACCGGAAACTAAGCCTGCTTTTCGGGATCTCCAGGCAAATAAACACTGCACCTTCCAAGACAAATCTTAAGATCTGGGGATCCTAGCTCAAAGCAATCCATGAAAAGCTTATGCTCCACTTCCAAAGGAGTGTCTCTACATGGCAACAGGGCTGCTACCAGGCCTTCTGAGACTCAGTCCCTGGCACTGAGGAGGGCAGAGCCCAGCAGATTAGGGTGCAACCTAGTAGCACCAGGGAGGTTGGGAGAAGAGCCTAGAGGATATGTCTCTGGAGTAGAGCCTTATGGGTGTGTGTGTACATACAAATGTATTCACGAAGCATGGTGAAAGCATTAAGAAAGCCAAGCAGGACACTGCCTCTTCCCACTCTCAATCCTGACCACCCCCATTTAAGATTTCAGTCCTCCTCTTGGACGCCCTGCTATGTAGCCAGAAAAACAAGGTCTGAGAAAATTTTAATTAAAATGCATGCTATATCTAAAATCGATTTTACCTATATCACAAACTAATAATAATCATGAAGGACGACTATTTGATAGCCAGTGTGGTGTAGTGGTTAGTTGCGTGGACTCTAATCTGGGAGAACCGAGTTTGATTCCCTGCTTCTCCACATGCAGCCAGCTGAGTGACCCTGGGTCAGTTACAGGTTCTCTCGGGAGCAGTCCTCAAAAGAGCTCTCTCAGCCCCACCTACCTCAGAGTGTCTGTTGTGGGGAGAGGAAGGGAAAGGAGATTGTAAGCCACTCTGAGACTCCCAAGTGAAGAACGGGGTATAAATCTAATCTTCTATTTACTCAGAAAATTTATCCAACGAACCTGCCCTGGGCTTTGACTATTCATAAACATGGCAGAAAGGGATACAGAAACCTTGTGAAATGGTACACCCTCCACAGTAGACACTAAAATGCAGATACAGTAAAAAGACATGCAGAGGTTCTCTCTCGAGCATTCATATTGTTGCGACAACTTCTTCAGGCAATACTTGAACGGATAAAAAGCATCTCGCTGCGCCAGTGATCATCATTAGAATACCTGGAGCGGCTCAGAATCACAGATACACGGTTCGAGCAGGTTGCTCTAGCGGGTGCGTCGGCCAGCCCTTTCGGCAGCAATTTTGATGCTAAGCAGAACCGGAAGCCGAAGCAGAAAACTTCCCTAGGGGGCTTTCACCATAGAAACGCCCGCCAACGGACAACGGGACCGCTGGCCGACTCCCGTTTGTTTCGGAAACACCCCTCTAGCTTCTTCCTCTCTATGGTCGCGGGAGTGGCTGTTTTTGGTCGGAACGGCCAGAAGGAGATCGCGAGCGGCGGTCTTTTCCTGCGCATGCGCTTTAAGCGGGAGGGGGCGCGGTTGTGACGTCCTCGCCTGTAAAATGGCGCCGTGTCTGCCTTGGCCAGCCTTGGAGAAGTGTTTTGTCCTGCCTGAGTGCCTTTTCCGTCGGGCCGAGGTCAGCAGCTTTTATTCGGAGAAGGCTCGAGCTGGGCCTTCGTGGGGTGATGGGAAAAGCACTCTGCGCAGCCCCAGAGGCACTCTTTTATGTTTTTGCGATGTCAAGGCGGGGTGGGTGGACGGTCTTCCCTTACAGGTAGGGAGGCCGAATGCAGTTTGAGGGGAGATTCCTGGAGATTGGGGGACAGAGCCTAGAAAGGGCAGAGTTGGGGGAGTGATTTCACCTAGGACCCTATGGTGTACCATGGAGTCTATTCTCCAGATCTGCCATTCTTCTGATCTCTGCATCCTGGAGATCTACTTCTGGAGGATCTCCAGTCCTCAACTGGAAGTTGGCAACCTTATCAACAGGTGGCTTCCGGGGCTCAGTGGAGCTTGAGGAAAGGCATGCAAAAGGAGGTGTTAACGATGCAGCCTGGCTGCCTGCGTGTCCTTCAATGCCTGTAATGGTATCCAACGGTTGCCCGATGCTGGCTGGTTCCCACAAGGCAGTCAGTGTCTATCTGGCTTCCGCTGCTTGGGCTGTAGGTGGAGGATTTGGTGGGTCTGTTCATCTCTGTGTGCAAAAACTCTCCTGGTATGTTGAAAGCTAGTGTGTCAGGGAGAAGGCTAGATTCAGTCAGAGGCCTACTGTTATACACTCCCTCCCTATTCTTGCATTTTGTGGGCCCGTAGTATGAAGCAGACCAGTCAAGTCACACATTGACCACCCCAAGGGAAAACTAGACTTCTGTCTGAACATAGAAAAGAAAAACTTGATAATGGAGGCTTCTTTACTTTCTCAGACTCTAACTGGCCTTGCCTCGTTTCTTACATGGCAGTGTCTGAAAGCACACCAGATTCGAGTCTGGGAGCACCTTGGAGACTGACAGGTTTTCTGAAGTATAAACTTTGTAGAGTTAAAACTCCCTTACTCAAATACACTCAGAATGGAGTTCTCTTGAGTCCTTATATCTCAGCCTGAGATGGGTGGGGTGTTGTAAAGAATGCAGAGGTACAAGGAAAGCACACTAGCTCTAAGAAGAGAGTACTTGACTGTGCACGGCATTTATAGCTTAGGAGCAAGATCTGCTTTTGAATGGGACGAATGATGTAAGGATGAAATGCATTTGTGTTTATTTTCAGTACTTGTTATGAAAAACACATTGCTGAAAAAAATGGGTGGGAAACGTTCAATTTTTCTGAAATGATTTTTCCATTAAGATCACATTTATAATTTTCTTGCAGATCCCTTGAATAGGAGTGGAAAGCTGGTAGGCGCTCGGTGTGGTCACTATTGCATAGATACCTCGTTGTGAAGATGAATCCTAACACTCCTTTTGGTGGACAGCTGCCTAGCGTTTTCCAGGCACCACCTAATAAGAGTTCTTCTGGAATGATTCAGGTTCAGCCACCGCTCCAGTTTGGTCAGCTCTCGCTGTTTGGACCAAACAGTGGAGGAGGGGTAAAGAATCCAAGCTTCACACCCGCATCTGACTTCACAAGGACATCAGAACTACCTGGTTCGTCGGGTCAGACTTTGGGATTTGGGCAGCCCCCGGGATTTACACAGTCTTATCTTTTTAGGCCTGCTGCATCGTTTGTGGCTACTCCCACACCAACCGGCTCATCCATTGCTGGCAAACAAGGATTCAGTTTTAAACCACCTACAAATCTTGGGACTTCTCAGGCCTCTTTGGCGTTTGGAAATACATCTGGAGAAGTTTCAGGCAGTGTCTTCACGGGACCAGGTTTTAGCTTCAAAACTCCTGAGAATGCAATGTTCAAGCCAATTTTTGGCATTGGTTCAGAACCAGAGAAGACCCAAAGCCAAACCATCCCAAGTCTATTCGCGTTTTCCTTTCCAGGTGAAAGCGGGTCTGGAAGACTTGCCCCCTTTGGTGTTTCCCAGGAAACCAGCAGCTCAAGCGCTACTACGCATTTTGGCTTTTCAAAACCAGGAAGCAGCATTACTACTCTGTCATCTTCCTTCCCTGCTACTTTACCAAGCAAAACTGTCGAGGATGATAAAAAAGGACCTATAAATCTCTTTGCAAATCCTAGTAGCAGCTTTGGTAGTTTTTCTTACTCGTCTGGTGGGTCAAGCAGACCAGAGCAGGAAGCATTTGTTGCTCCAAGCGAGCCTGTCGAGAAGGGAACGAAAAGAAAGGAAGACCATTCCCCGAGGAGACGAGATGATACTGCAGATGATCCAGAGCTTCAGTCGAGGAGTGACTATTCTTCCAATAAGCGCCTGGTGAGGCTGACTCGGCCTCGCGTAGGGGGCCTCTTCAGCGTAACGTTGCAAGATGTCTTGAAAAGCAATAAAGACAATGGGCGTCCTAAGAAAGAGCCCAAAATGGAGAGGGTCTCCCTAGAGTCTGGAGAGCTGGAGCAGACGAGTGCAGCGGGGGGAAGCCAGTCTGGTTTGGCATTGGCCAGGCCATCCGTGTTACAGAAGGAGGAAGAGAATAAGGCAAAGCAGAAGGAAAGTAAGTAACAAAGCATGAACTTGTAAAATGGCAGACCAAAACAAAGTTTTTGTGATTATTTTGCTATGATTGTCCATCATTTATCAATGTGTAGACTAATGCTCTGTCTAAGCTGTTGAGTCTTGTGAGCAAAAATTCTGCTTGGTGAGCTCCTGGCATTATAGTTGTGAGTGTGCGATATGGCTACTGCATATGTTAGTTTGCTCCGGAGCCATCCTTCCTGAGCTAAGACAAAAACGTGTGAGCCGGAGGCTAAAAAACTGTGAGCTAGCTCACACTAACTCAGCTTAGAGGGAACACTGGCGCAGACATATGAAATGCAGGCATTCAAATGCGGATGTTTATATTTTTCTCCATATCTATATGGTATTTTGAAAAGGTACTTTTTCCCCTCCTTCAGAGTCTTCTGTCTCAAATCCCTCACGTCGAAATCGGAACAGTGGGAGCACAGAAAGCCTTGGGGGCTTGCCACCAAGTGAACTAAAAGCCTTCCAGTGCAAAAACATTCCCGATTACCTTAATGACAGAAATGTTCTTGAGAATCACTTCAAGAAGTTTGTTAAAATCCACCGTATTTATACCAACAGAAGCAAAAAGTTGGCAATTGTTCATTGTTTGGATCATGTGAGTTTTTGATAGAAGATCAGTGGTTTATAGTTTCTGGAAATTCTTGATGTGTGAGATTTTATTTTTAAAAAACCTTTCCCAGGAAACAATTTGGGGAAGATTGAATTATATGCAATATACATTTTGTGGTCAAGCAAGAATGTACTTTGGTACTTGAAGAATGTAAAGTATGCCTTGTTGAACATAATGCTTAGAATTGCATTATTTGGTATAGCTACAAACATTAACAGGGTGAACACCTTGTTTTCCAATTCAAAATAATTAGAGATCTATCCAGTGTGCGAGCTGCCACCAGGACAGCTTGTTTTGGTTTCCTGCCTTTTGTCTGTAGATCAAGAGAGTAGATGAAATAAAATAAGTTGAAAATTGAGGTCCCCAACTTTGCACTGAACAAAGGTATTGTTCTCTCGGGTTAAACAATCTAGGTCGCATCATTATCATATGGAAACTACTGATGTGGGTTTCCAAAACAATTCCCAGTGTCCCAAATCAATTGAGATTCCTGTGTGAACTTGTCTAGTAAACAGAACAGCACAGTATAGTAACTGGGCATGCTGTATAAACCCCTCAAAAGCTTTTCAATAGCCAAAATAGTTCAACTGAAATAGCAGGAAAAAATATTTAGTCAGGTGCATTTAGCGTAGTTTAATTGTTCAAATAAAGCAGACTTTACTTGGAAATACTTGCCGTATTGTAGAATATTTACAGTTCAGCACAATAATACGATCTTTACTTGTGCTGTTTAAATATAAGGCCCTGGACACTGTTTAACATGTTGATTTTAGCATTCCCCAAGAGCTGCGCCTGTGTCAGTGCTCCTTAGGTACAGGCATCTTTCCTGTAATATGTGAGATAACAAAGGTCTTTTAGTCACTCTTAAGCTCATCGAAATCATTGGGGCATCAACATCCCAAACTGTGGAAGCGGCTGACTGAAATATTTTTTTAGGAATTAGTAGTATTTTTTCGTCCTTTTTGGTTTTATTTATTTACAAGAAGGAGGACCCGCAATACTCCCGGGGGGGGGGGGGCTCCATGTGGCGGGGGGGGGGGGGGAGCTCCATGTGGAGGAGGAGGAGGAAGCAGCCGCAGGTAAGCCTTCCCCCCCCTTCCCCCGGCACAAATGGCGAGACCCGTGCAGCTCCCACCGAGCCTGCCAGGCCTCCCCCCCGGCACCAATGGTGAGGCCCGCGCGACTCCCAGCCGTCTGGCTCACCAAGCTTTCTCCTTCCTCCCCCGTGGTGGCGACGAGGCCTGAGCAGTCGGATGGCCCACCCGCCTCCTCTTCCCTGCAGTGGCAGTGCCTCCCCCTTCCACCGACCATCCAAGGTTTCTCCCCCTGCCACCACAGCTGCCAGCAGCAACGGTGGTGAGCCCTGTGCCCAAGCTTCCTCCCTCCCCCCCCGCGGTGGCGGCGAGATCTGAGCAGCTGACCGGCTGGCCCACCAAGCCTTCTCCTGCTTCCTTCTCTCTCCAGTGGCAGTGACTCCTCCTTCCACTGGCCCTCCAAAGTTTCCCCCCCCCCCCGCCACGGCAACTGCCAGCAGCAACAGCGGTGAGACCTGTGTGCTCCCAGCCACCAGGCTTCCCCCCCCTGACAGCAACAACATCCGTGGCTCTAGCCACTGGCCCTCCAAGGCTTCTCCCTCCCTCCCTCCCGTTCCCCCTGCCACCGCCGCTGCCAGCAGCAATGGTGGCAAGCCCCGTGCGGCTCCTAGCCGCTGGGCTGGCCAGGCCAGGCTCCCCGCCCCCCAGCAACGGCTGCGGCTCCCAGCTGCAGCGCACTAAAGCTTCTCCCCCGCGCGCTGCCACCGCCAGCAGCAATGGCTCTGCTACAGTGCCTAGTGATAAGTGCTCTTTTACTTTTGGGGGGGATTTAAGTATCCCCCCCCTGTATTTTTTCAACTCTTCAGATTTTTCTGCACATCTGGGGATCGCCCCAAATGTGCAGCAAAATCTCCCTGCCCCCGATGTGTGGATTTAGATATCCACATGCAGGGGGCGCCTTGGCTATTAGATATATAGATTTACTCCATTCATACCTGACCTTTTCCTCCAATGGGGACCCAGAGCAGCTTCCATTGTTCTCGTCTCCTCCATTTCATTCTGATAATAACCCTGTGAGGAAGGTGAGGCTGAGACCGGGTGGCCCACAGTCACGCTGCAAGCTTCCTTGGCGGAGTAGGGATTCGAACCTGGGTCTCCCAGATCCTGGTCCGATACTCATAAGAACATAACAGAGAAGCCAATGTTGGATCAGGCCAATGGCCCATCTAGTCCCAACACTCTCTGTCACAGAGTGGCCAAAAATACCAGGTGCCATCAGGAGGTCCAGCAGTGGAACCAGGACACTAGGAGCCCTCCCACTGTTGACCCCCCCCCCCCCACACCCAAGGATACAGAGCATCCCTTGCCCCAGACCGAGAGTTCCTATCTATACCTTGTGGCTAATAGCCACTGATGGACCTCTGCTCCATATGTTTATCTAATTCCCTCTTGAAGCTGTCTGTGCTTGTAGCCGCCGCCACCTCCTGTGGCAGTGAGTTCCACGTGTTAATCACTCTTTGGGTGAAGAAGCACTTTAACCACTGCACCCCACTGGCTCTCTGCATTATGCCATTTGCAGCCCATCTTTCTCACCGTGACTGCTGGCAGCTGGACTCCTGGTTGCTGGGTGTTTACTCGCCAAACAGTACCATACAAACCATAAAGCATTAGGCTGCCAGACACAGCCGGGCTGGAGTAAGAGAGGCTTCTATTACATTTGGGTGGAGGTGTGCTGATGCATGCGGTCGTTCTCTGCCAAGTTCTTTTAGGCTGTGGTCACACACGCTAAATAATCCACTTTCAATCCACTTTCAGTGCACTTTCAGTCTGGATTTTTAACGTGAACATGTGAACTGGCAAAATCCAGTCGGAAACTGCATTGAAAGTGGATTATTTAGCGTGTGTGATCGCAGCCTTAGTGTGATTTTTCTTGACTCTCTACTTTGGTGTATGGGAGGGAAAGTCTTCATCCTCCTAATTTGGAACGAGGCCTGTGTTCAGCCGTGCTGTGTGTCTGGGGGCAAGAGGAAGGGGCTGCAAACGTTAAAGCCTTACTGAAGTAAACCACTTTTGACCTTGGCTTAGTTAGCACATTATCTCTGTTATACTGTTCTTTTCTGAGCTGGCTGTGTGCACTGTTTTTCAGTCATCTGCTGTTTTGGCCAGAAAGAAAGCCAAATTGTTGCACAAAGAGATAGTGACGTTTTGGCAAAAGAAGAAACCAAGTAAGTTGCTGCAATCTGATTGTTATAAAATATTGCCTGCTGGTACTGGGGGGGGGTTTTTTTTCCTTCCTTCCTTCCTTCCTTCCTTCCTTCATTCCTTCCATCCTTCCTTCCTTCCTTCCTTCCTTCCTTCCTTCCTCCCTCCCTCCCCTCCTCCCTCCCTCCCATCTATTTGCTTTCTTTGTTTCTCTTTCTTTCCTCCACTTTCATTCTTTCTTTCCACCTCTCTCTCTATTTCTCTCTCTCTAGACAAATAAATATCATTAGCAAACAAACAGATATCATTGGACAAATAAATATCATTCTCAGTATCTGTTTTTACACCTTTTGTTTTTATTTTTGGCAAATTTGCATATTTTCTCAGTAAAAATGTGTGTGTGATATTTGTTTGTGTCTTGTGGCTCTCAAGCATCTTTGTGGCTCTTACATTGAGCAAGTCTGGCCACCCCTGCTGTCGTGTCTGTGCAGACTGGGACAGATTGTGCCTCCCACTTACGGGAGATCAGGTCATGCAGGGTCAGGGTTTGTTCCCATTACAACTTTGTCCCCATGTGTTGTGCTTTATTTCCCCCTCCCCCCTCAATAGCATTGTCTGGCCATTTGCATTGGGGGGAGATAAGGGGTGTGCCCTGGAATGGAAGTTTAGAGACTCCTTTATTTAAAGGAGTACACGTTGCCTCCCCCTCGCAATATTCTTGATCATTGTAGCCTCTTTACTTTCTCAGAGCAATTCTTAGCCACTGAGAAGCACCCACCATACTAAACTTCACTGTCGGAATGTTAACACGGCAGTGATTAGAGTTTGGATTGGCTGTCGCATTTAAATTTTCTCAGAATTCAGTGAACAGGCATAGTGGGAGGGGGAGAAGCCGTAGTAAGATTCTGCTGTCTCTGTATGCACAGGTCCTAATAAGAGAGAGTATTCAGCCAAGGAGCAGCCGGGAGATATCAGTGAAGGGAGGCAAGTAACTGACCAGCCGAGTCATCAGCATTCCCTGCAGAGCAAGCCTTTAATCCGGCCCACAGCTGGTGGGATCCTTTTGAGCAAAAGGTAGGTGTTTGCAGCGTTATCTAGGTAAGAAAAATGTCTTTTGTGTGAGGTTTATATAGCAGCCGATCGCCTGCAGCAATAAGATTTGTTTTGTAGAGCAGCGGTGAGCACCGTATGGCTCTAGGATGGCACGCAACTCGCCAGTACATGTGATGCAGCCCATTGTTACAATGAATGAGCGCTCCTTTGTGCGATAATGTTGTAATGAATGTTGGCTCTCTCGAGTCTGCAGTGGACACAGTGCCTGTGCGCAAAAGCATCCTCGTAGGGTGTGTAACAGAGCCCTGCTTCTCCTTTCCCTCCCCACAGCCAGGAATTTTTTTGGGAGGGTGCGGCAGGTCACTGGGGGGCGGGGTGGGGGCGGTGCTGATTAAATTGAATTAAAATTAAGTTAAGTTGAGATGGGGCATCCATCCGGAGAACAGTTCTCTGGGCGCTGGATCCTTTCAGTTGAGGTACCCAGTGCCTGCCCCGGCCAGGCGCACCCAACACGAATGAAGGTAGTCTGGGACAGCCGCAGGGCTGCACGGCCGCCGGTCCCAGAGCAACAGAGTGAGGTGGTGGCAGGCAGCCTAAGCCCAGCAGCAGCTCCGTGGCCGTGCTCTGGCTGTTGGCTTTGGCTTCCCTGCTGGTGCCGCGAGCCAGCATCTTGCGGAGCCGGGTTGATGCTGTAGCGCAGGCGGGTGTGACTCCCATCTGACAGCCAGGATCGCCAGTTGAAGCTGCGTGCCTCCCGCCAGCCGCGAGGCCATGTCATCCACAGTGGCACCTGAGCCTCCACGCCTCGCTCCAGAAGACCCCCTCACGCTTTAGCCACCCTCCTCAGAGTTCCAAGTCTCGAGCGGCTTGCTCCTGCGGGAAGCCCTGTATGGTAACTGGGGGCGCTGCTCATTCAATAAGGGCGCCGCCCTCAACACACACCCCCGGTCTCCAGTGTATGTACAGACAAACCTTCTCAGGCTATGGTGGTTAATGGGATGCCTGTATGATGTCAAGAAGCACCGTTTGACCCCGACCTGGATAGCCCAGGGAAGCCCTATCTCGTCAGATCTCGGAAGCTCGTGGTGGAGATGCGGAAAGATCTATACATGTTGGCAAAATGTTAACAAGATAATAATGGAAATATTAAATATTGATTTAAAATTACTACCAGAATTTTTTTTTGTTGCTGAATATAATTCCTAGTTGTTACGAGTGAAATGATGTATGTTTACTGACATATATTCTTACATCAGCCAGAATATTAATAGCTAAATATTGGAAATCAGAAAAAAGTTCCAATAAGAGAGGAAATAGTTAAGAAATTGTTAGAAGTGGCTGAAATGGATAAAGTTAATATATTACTTCAAGGAAAAGATTATAAGATATTTTTAAAAAATGGAAGCTAAGCAGGGCCGACCCTGGCAAGTAGTTGGAAGGGAGACCTCCAAGGAATACCAGGGCTGGGAGGCGGAGGCAGGCTATCAAGCCACCTCTCTGAAAAAAGTCCAAACCCCACTAGGGGTCGCCAGAGGTCATCATAACTTCCAGGCATGCAAGTGCACATACACATACACCCACACACACAAAAAGGAAACATCATTTGGAGAGGTGTGGGGTGGCCAGAGAGAAAGGAGGCATGCGCAACCCTCCTAATGGCATGGCGTGGTGCCCGTGCACAGAGGGAAAGGGGAGGACAGAGCTCTGCTATTGGGAACCTTCTGTCCCAGCTGCCGGTCCCAGGATGGTGCTGAGTCAAGGCTGTGGCATTTAAGAACGACTCTTCTTCTTCTACTTCTTCTTTGATAGCTCTCCAGTTAAGAAGCCTGGCCTTAAAAAGTCTCTGCAGTTTGAGGCAGATACCTTTGATCCTGGGTCCGAAAGCCACGGTTTGGAGAACTTGGAAGCATCGGCGGCATCTTTCGGGAATCTCGTAGGCATGGTAGCCGAGTCCTCCGAAGACAAATACCGCCTTCTTGACCAGAGAGATAAAATCATGCGGCAAGGTAAGAACGGGGAAACGCCTTCAAGAGGGAATGGGAGAGGCCCTGTGACCGGTCCCACCCATACCGTGAAGAAACACTCACGTTCTCTGCAGTGGTGGGAAGTGCTGTTATGGTGACCCCACGGGGTTTTGAAGGCAAGAGACAAACGGAGGTCGTTTGCCATTGCCTGCCTCCGTGTAGTGACCCTGGACTTCCTTGGTGGTCTCCCATCCAAGTACTCACTGGGCTGATCAGGCTAGCCTGGGCCATCCAGGTCAGGGTCACGTTTTCTGCAGCCATCTTGAATATCACCCTAGAGAAATGGCCCTTGTGTGATTCAGTATGTGTGCAAAAGGGGGCCTCAGTGGGACTTAAAATTTCCTTCAGTCCTGCCATTCGGTTCTCCCATAACACATCCCGTAAAAACCATGCTGTACTCCAGCTTAGATTACTGTTAGTTCATTTCCCTCCCCAAATTGTGTCGGAAACTCCCCCCGCTATCTAAGTGCTGGTCTCTTGTCTTTTTAGCTCGAGTGAAACAAATAGATCTCAGCCAGACTTTTATTGGCACGTGCCCAGACATGTGCCCGGAGAAAGAACGATACATGAGAGAGACGAGGAACCAGCTCAGTGTCTTTGAAGTGATTCCAGGAACCGACAAGGTACTAAGGGGCTTGTTTCCTTGTGTTGCGTATTGATGAAAGGTGCTGGTGCCCTTCAGTGCGCATGATCCGGTCATGTTCGGAACTGATGTGGAAAAGTTCCAGGGGGAACAAGTGCTGGAGATCGAGCGGAACAGCGTTGAAGCAAGCGAGGTCAGAGAAACTGACCGACAATGAATGTGAGTTCAAAGTAAGTGGACGACTATAAAAAGCAAATCCCCACCCCACCCCACCCCCATGGGAAAGCAGATCGCAAAGAGGGACGCCTCTTATGCGAAAAGACTGATAAGCGAGACGAAGGGGGAGGAAAAACAGCTAGTGTGTTTTGAGAGGTTTACTTGATTGCTGACAGCGTGGGAGTGATCTTTAGAGTCAGAGGGAAGCATCAGAAACTGTAAACAAATTGTAAAAAATGGCTGCCATGCAAAGAAAGCTGAAAACAAAACTGCCTAGCAACCAGAGCCCAAAACCGGAAGAAGGAGCAGACGTCATGAAAATACTAGCGGATATGCTCAAGCCAGTGATGGAGCAACTCGATGGTATTAACCAGCAACTGACTGTAATGAATAAAAACTTTGCATCTCAGCAGCTCCAACTGAAAGAAATGGAGAAGAAGGTGGAGCAGGTAGCTGGGAAACTTAAGGAGTTGGACACCACAAGCAAGAAAATGAAGACAAGAATGGGAGAAGTGGAAACAAAGTAAAATCTACAAGAAAACCGTTTGTTACAGCTGCAGATGGAAAAAGCCAACATGATTCTCAGATTCCAGGGAGTTCTTGAGGCAGAGAAGGAGAATCTGAGGAAGATACTTAACGGGATAATCGCTCCAGCAATAGGCTTAACAGCAGGTGAACTGGTAAAAGAGTTGGAGATGGCTTATAGGGCTTACTCCAATTATAATAAAAAAATAGCCTGCCTGGAGAAATTGTGGTCAGATTCTCAAGAAGACAGACCAGAGATGCTATTTTAAAGGCAACATCAGCAACTCCACTGAAAATGGGAACTTTATCATTAAAACTTTAAAAGACATTCCATTTGAAATTCGTCAAAAGAGGAAAAACTATGAGGACTTAATTTCTTTTCTTCAAACTAATGGAATTTCGTATAGGTGGGCGATCCCGGAGGGTGCCATCTTCAAAATCAACAATAAAAGAGAAAAGATTGATTCCACCTTTAAAGCCAAGGAATTTTTGCAACGCCAGCTGTGAACAGAGGAAGATTCCAAAGAGGAAGGAACGAAATCAAGTGACTGCCACCTCTGGAACGGAGGAGGACTCTGCTGTGGAAACCGGTGCAGAGGCAGCCAGAGTAGTATATGAGACAAAAAACCGAAGTAAAGGCAGAAGGACTCTGAAAATTGCCTTTTGAAACGAAGAATAAGAAGATGATCAGAAAGCTCTCTCATAACAACTAACAAATTAACATGTTAACACTGAAGCTGAGACAAACAAGAACTCTACAAGTATATTGTTTTATTAACACTTATATTACTAACACTTTCACTAACAGGGATAAGATCTCCTCCTCTTGGGGTTTTAGTATAGTGTGGTTACCTTTTCTTTGCCCCTAGATGTAGTCCCTTTCCTCCATATTTTCTTTGTAGTTTGTAGTGTATAGCAAAAATAAAAATATCCCTCCGGGGATTTAAAAAAAGAAAGAAAAGTTCCAGGGGGGGGAAACCTCATGACATCATATGAATTTTTAAAAAATCTCATGTTTTATTTTATACATTTATTTTTGTAATCATTAAGCTTGGGTGAAAAGTCTGTCCAGGTACCCCAGTGAACGGTATTTTTAGTATGAGACTTGAATGTGAGATTCCTGAGGCATCTGACCTACCACTACTGAAAAAAGACTAGATAAGACTGTTGATCTAATCTGGATTCCTGTGTGGTGTAGTGTTAGAATGTTGGACAAGGACCTGGGATAACCGGATTCAGATCCCTCGCTTCACCATGGAAGCCCTGCCAGGTGACCTTGGACTCAGGGTTCTCCCTAGGGTTCTCCCTAGGGTGCGCTAGCCTGCACTAGTGCACTGATTTCCAGCCCCCAGTGGACCGATTTCCGTATCAGGGCAGGGGCCGAGGAGTGGGCAGCCCCGCCCTCCTGCTCAGCCGCCACCTGCACCTTAAAGGGCACCTGCTTCTGGTAGCCCTCCTTCCAGCCGGATGGTGCAAGCTGTGAGCTACTGCCTGCTGACTGTTGCCATCGAAGCAGTCTTCATGCCGCTGCCACTGCACCTAGCCATCCTGTAGCCAGTGAGTGAGTCGCCATTGGCTTGGCAGTATGGCCTGGGACTCTTCCCTGGGTCTCCTGCCGCCCGTGGGCCCTTCTCTGGGAGGATGGAGGTCTGGGCTGGGGGGGTAGTGGAGCCAGGCTTGGAGTTACATGCTGGCTCCACTACCCCCGCCTGGCCCTCCATCCTCTCAGTGAGGGGCCTGAAGCCACCCCGGGCCCAGGCTGCGCTCCAGAGCCATTGGGGGGGCTGCGGACTCCTTGCTGGGAGGATGGAGATCTAGGTCAGGAGCAGTGTTCCCTCTAGGCTGAGTTAGTGTGAGCTAGCTCAGTTTTTTAGCTGCCGGCTCACGCATTTTTGTCTTAGCCCAGGAAGGATGGCTCTAGAGCAAACTGATGTATGCAGTAGCCAAATCCCTCGCTCACAGCTTTAATGTCAGTAGCTCACCTAGCAGAATTTTTGCTCACAAGACTCCACAGCTTCGAGGGAGCATTGGTCAGGAGGGCTAGTGGAACCGGGCTTGGGGTGCGCCTGGCCGGCTGCATTCATGCCTTGGGTGGTTTGGTGCCACCCCTCCCGGGCCCAGGCAGCACTGGCGACACAGAAGAGCCTGGGCTCGCTTTCTCCCGCAGTCTGGTTTGAACTGGGCTGCTGGAGAAGAGCGCCCCAGGAGCTCCTGTGCCACATGGAGCGAAATGATCCCGGCGGTACAGAAGATCCTTGGATCACTTTCTCCTGCCCAGGCTGCACGTCCACCCCCCCCCCCCCGACGGCCTTCTTCCGGGAACACCCCCCGGGGGTCTTCCACTACCAGCGCCGTGGGGGACTTTGGGGGGGGCCTCTATGGCAGAGAAGGCGGTCTGGGGGGGACCCGGCCATGCGTCCTCCTCCTCCTCCCAATGGCCTTCTTCTGGGAATGCAGCTTGGGTCTCCTCTGAGGCCTCCTGCTACCAGTGCCATGGGGGGGGGCCTGTGTGGGATTCCCTCTCCCCCCCATCTATTTTGTCTGTCTCTCTCTCTCTCTCTCAAAAGAATGCAGGCCCACTCACAACTTTAATCCTGGTAGGTCTCTTGGCTCACGAAGTAGAGTTTTGGTTGACAAGACTCCTCAGCTTAGAGGGAACATTGCTTGGACTATCACCGCCACCTCTTCGCCTGACCCACCCTCACAGGGTTGTCGTGGTGGGGATGATGTGGAAGAGAAGGGAGGAGGGTGTGAAAAGCCACTTTGAACCTTACCAAGGAGAAAAGTGGGATATAAATTATATATATACAAGAGGGGGACCCGCGATATTCG